TAGCTGAAAAGTCAGAAAAAATAAAACAGCAGAATGAAGCTGAAAGCAGCATAAACAGCTTAAATGTACAGTAAGAAATAAAATGAAACACAAAAGCTAATATTAGCAGAAAAAAGTTGAAAATTAGCTGAAAATACTGAAAACTGCTAAAATAAACAAAAAAAGAAGYTGAAATTTGCATAAAGTTCAAAARGCAGAACCAGACCAAAAGGTGAAAAGTGCAGTAAAATGTTCAGACATTTTAAAGGGTTTTAAGAGGAAAAAGGGGAAAAAATGGCAGAAGCAGCTAAATATCTCAAAAAGCATAAATTTCTGAAATGCTAAAAGCTTTATAAGCATTCACACCATTACCAGCTAAAAGCTTTCTACTCTGTCTCRTGATAAACTCAGATGCTGGCTTGTATTTGGAAGCTTTTGTAGTTACAAATACTCAAACATTATGCAGGTTACTGAGGTTCAACGATTTGCATCTACTAATGACAGAAGAGAGAAATCACTGCTAGCCCCTGAACACTTGATGTTGTCCTCTTTATAGTAACGGGTTTATCACAAATGTGTTGCAGAATCCAACAGATCCAATCATTACACCGTTATAAATGATGTTTGCATTTATTTACATTACCTGCTGGAAAAACACAGGATTCCAACTCTGAAACGACTCATTTGATGCACAGAGTAAACTGGTCCAAATACAGTGTGTGTGCAGTCTAAGACATCTTGTATCAAACAGGGTTTCTGTTTACCGTAGTTTAGTTTTTTTGGTGCTAATTTGCTCACTGCTGAGTCAGCAGGAGCGGGAAAAATATTCGGTTGATTATTGTGATTTCCGCTGAGCTGCACTGCAATATTTCAGCGAGGCGTTCGCACAGATTTATGATTTTACTTCTGTTTTTATTCTGTCTGGACCACCTCCTTCAACTAGAATGGGTGATAGTCCAGTTACGGTTTATCAGTTTATGGTTTTATTGTGAAGGAGGCACCAAATTAGGTTGAAGTTTGTTTTCTTTGCAGAATTTAAAAAAAAATATATTATTATTTTTTTGCAAATTTTATGACTTGGTGCTTAGGTGAATAAGAATATTAATATTACTGAAATTCAGGCAGGAAATCAAATTATATTTACGCAACCTTTCTGTTAC